GGTCCAAAGTGAACTTGTGACCTCCAAGAACATCACCTGAAAGTCTTCATATCTTTTACAAAAGGAGTTATTTGGAAGTTAAGAAGTTTTGAATATCATTCTATTAGAAAAAATATTAAACAAAAATTAAACCCAGTTTCTGATCATGTGTCATCATCTTTACTGTAAAAGCAAAGTGCCTCCATATGACTGTTGTTGTTTGCAGGTGGTTTTTGAATAAAGTTGAACTGAAGTGGAATAAAATGGACAAATAGTCGAGTTAGAGACTCTACTAACAACATTTACTCAGACAGTTAAATAAAAACAAAGTGGGTTATTTTATTAAAATAGTAATCCTCAGTTGAGAAAAACAATCATAAGCTGTTATTTGTTAACTGATAATTTAGAAGACACAGGTGAACTTCAAAGTCACATGACTGAGGCTGATCTCATCTGAGTGACAGCTTTGGAAGAAACCCGTCTGACTTGAGCGCGGGTCTGCTCCACCCTAATGCTGTGATATCTGCAGCTGTGGGTCCCTGACACTGAAGAGTGACATCTTTAGACTCACTTTGACATCTGTGTGGTCTAAAGTGAAAGTTTCGTCTTTAGTAAGTTCAGATGAAGTCATCAGAGGAGTTTCAGAACAGATTTGGTGATGAGAACTTTGAGTCAGATCAATATTGCTGCAGTTTATTACTCAAGAATATTAAGTTCTATAATTACATAACTATGAGAAAATCAAGAGGATTTTCTGCATTTTGTGTCAGTTTTTGCAGTAACAGCAGTAGTAGGACGATCCTAACTCACCCGAGGCTGTCACTGTGAGGTTGATGAAGCACTTAATGTCACTGAACAGTCTCTCTGTGCTGTTTTTGTTCCTGAACAACCGACACTTGTTCGTGCCGTTACCGCTGATGGTGACTTTCTTCAGAATCAAAGTGAGGTCTCCATCCTTCAACTTTTCCCTTCTCACTGTTGCAAAGTGCTTGTACACAGGAAGCCGTGATTGTTAGGATTTCCTCTGTATCAATGTAAACTATTGCAGTAGAATACAAAATGCTTTGAGGTCACTGTTCTTGTGATTTGGTGAAAACAGAACAGAAATGAAATTCGTAGACTCCTTCGAATGCAGCCGACAAATACGTCTTCCTTTTCCCCAAATTTGAAGGATGGGTCGGGTGTGTCCTTCGTGGCCCACCATATCCCAGAATTCATAGCGCGGCCCAGCCAAACTCCAGTTTCCAATAATGGCGGCCGCAACTAAGTTTTAAAATTACTCATACTAATCTTTCTGGGTCACAAAATAAACTTTTAACATATTTTCAGGCGAGAATTTAGTTGTGTAAACATCAAATATCTGCTCGGTTTATCAGGATATCGCATATTTGCAAAAGTGCTTCGACGTTTTCGGAGGCGTCTGCTACCCACCAGCTCGATAGCTAGCCGGAAGCTCGAGGGTCACTGAAGCCGCCGAGAACGGCACAACTAAGGATTGATGAGGCTTAAAGTGTTTTGAGGGTTAAAATGGAGTAGAAAAGAGCTAAGTAAGACTTTAGGTTCTGTGAGGCTGCTGATTTCATCATCCTGACACTCAGCAGTTTCAGCAGCTGTCAGCTGGTTCATCAGAAGAATTCTTCTTTGGCAGTTTTTGTGTGATCGCAAGAACAACAACGAACACAAAAACAAGTAACAAAACAAAAACTACCAGCCCATAATGTCCTCTGCCAACTCAAATGTAAATGTAAATCCTCCATGAAGTCAAAACTCATAATAAACAGTCTAATGTTCATATTTGGAGGTGTCCACGAGCAGTGGATCAGTCTATGAAGGACATTTTTATTCATTTATTATCAAACCTGACCACTGTTCCCCATTTTAAATATTATGACACATGGTGCCAAGTGTGAAGTTACTTGAAAGCAGAAGTTCGTTTAGCTGATTTAGGAAAAGTAAGTAGCACCAGGTTAATCAGACTGTTACTCTAAGGTTCAATCATGGCCTGTGCTGCCAACTACTGACGGCGAAGCTCCAACTCTGAGTGAGCACCAGGGAGAGTTTGTAAGACTCGGTGATGATGCAGCAGCTGTTTTGTATCCAGTATGGAGGAAACGTCACACGGACAGAAATAAACTTCACAAAATATCTTCTGTAAATACTTTTCACATGTTGTGCACTCCTGGTGTTCCCCACAGTCTCCCACTCAACTTCCAACCTGGTCAAACCTGTTTAACTTCCAACATTAGTCAGGACCAGGCAGGGTGAGGCCTAAAAATAAGATTTTCATGTTGTCATACACTGAATGTGTAAACTTGTTTTTATGACTGCTGTGTAATAAAGTGAAAACTTTTCAGCTCTGATTTCAAAACCCAAAGGATTTCAGTTATGCTTTCTAGATATGAACTTTCTAAAGCTGACTAACAGTTGATGTTCTTCTTTTTTAAACAGAGGGTAAAAAAATATACCACTTACAGTTTCCACTTTAACAAACACAGGAGTGTGAAAAATGTCAAGTTCCTCCTTCAGTGTAAATATTTGATGATCTGAGGAGAAATTTATCCTGACATTTAAAAGAACAAAGTCAGCAAATCAACACAAGCATCAAACTACAGTTAACATGCAGTCACATCTATAAACATCAAACACACATGAAAATGTTTAATTTTACAGCTCCCAAAGATTTTAAATCACAAAACATCTGAAATGTTACATCAAAACATCTGGAAGACAATCATTTTAATCCCAACAGCAAAATAAATATTTACCCTTTATTAACAACAGTTATTAAAAAGCTATATCCTGAAAAAGGCTACAATCGTAGAAATGTTCACACTCTTTCCCAAAGTCTCAGTAACTAAAACATGATGATTTGTGTTGATACTAGTGTAGAGGAACAGAGAGTGCAGGTGAACAGTGAGTCCTAATGTAGATGAACTCTGAAACACCTCAGTGGTCCTAAGTTGTCAGTGACGTTCAGCTGAAATACCTCCAAACAACCAAATATCCTCGATACGATCAGATGACTGTCTGTGAAGCAAAGACCTGATCTGGATCTAATGCTGTGGTCATGTTGACTTACAATGAAAATGTCTGTGAAGCTTCTCAGTCATCCAGGTCATCGTAGTCAAGGAGCTTGGAAA